GCCAACTATACTATTCCATTCTGGGTGCCACATTTAAAAAATTCTGTTAAAATATTCTATCCAGACAAGAGCAAGCAGAATGCCAAAGTGATACAAAGGTTGGAGATGTTCAACCTGTAGTGGAAAAAATTTAAAGATATAAAAATCTGCCTTCAATGTATGAAGCACTGTCACATATAAAAGAGATTGAAACTTGTCAGTGTGGTACCAGAGGGTAAATTGAGCTTGCTTGACGAGGTAGTAATGAGGAAATGTATAATATCATTATAAGGAAGGACTTTGTAACCATTTTTGCCAATCCAAACCGAAGAATGAGTTGCTTTGGGAGACCAGGAATTGCCTAACAACTTGATAAAATATCACAGAGGAGTGTCATGTATACGTGTTAACTAGATCGGTGCTTCTCAAATTTTAATTGCATATGAATCACTATGGACTCATTAACAATGCAGATTCTGATTTAGTAGTTCGGGGGTGGGGGCTGAGGGTCTGCATTTCTAACCAGTTTCCAACTGATGCCTATAATGCTGATATGTGGACAAGACTCTGAGAAGCAAGGAGCTCTATAATATTCAAGGTCACTTTTCAACATTGAAGCCTATAATTCTCATAGAAATGCATACTTCCGGAGCAGAGAAAGCAGTTAAACACTGAGATTTTAACACAAAAATGGCAATGTTCAAGAGCATAGAGGAAGCAAGAGTATTGCCTGGAAGCAGAAGCAGGGATACTCTGAAACTCAATAAGTAAATGCATATTTTTAAAAAACCTGTTAAACAAAGAGCCTAAATACTTGTATATGGCCACAGTTAATTATCTATTTTCATTAGAAAAGATCCATTATTTCTAGCAAGTGGAATTTTTGGCACTCACTGCTTTGATTTTAATAATTCATTTCTGTGTTAAATTCAAGATTTTTGTGTTGATCTAGTTCATTCAGCAAAAATCCTTCATAATTATTCATCCACCTTAAAGCCTTTGCAGTGCTTAGACTTTGATTTGTTACTCTTTCCCTTCCATTTAGATAGGTCAGAGCATCCCAACCAGCGGAGATAAAGATGTTCCTCAAGATATTTGGCCTTCTCATCACTTGGAAAGGCCAGGTGAGTAGCTTGTGCTGAGCTCTTGGAACTCAATCAAACCATGTCTACCACCTTGATGCTGTATTTACTTCAGCAGCCTGCTGCAAGCATGTCTATTTCCATCATGTGAAAGGTGTGGATCTGCTAGAGGAGTTCATATTCTAAATACTTAATTAGCATAGCATGCCCACCAAAATTGGTCATGGGAGGAGCTATCATGAGAAAGTAATTAAGGGACTTCTGACAGGTGTATCTTTAGGTGGTCACCCCAATATCCATCTTTGTGTATACTAGATACTTTTCTCAGTTTGTGGTAAATTTGGTGGATGGTAACTTCTCTAAAAGGTGTGTGCATTTTTCAGCTTACAATTTCAATATTATTTTGTCATACTTTACCTATAAAATGTAGGTGGATTCTGAATCTATATGCTTCCTCATATAAAATTCCAATGGTATATTTGTTAAGAAAATAAAAAGTAAGACTGTTTTATTTAAAATAGAGTCTTGCAAAAAAAGTTTCATTGGCAGCAGCTATTAAGAATATAAAAAGATAATTTGTCATTAAAATGTTTTAATTAGAAATGTTATATAGCCTTCAGAAAAAAACTTATATTGGTGAAAGCATATTCAGGTTTCTCAATTTGTACTTACTAATCTGCAATTTAATGTATTGCCCAAAATGTTATATTTTGTTTTGTTATCATAATTGTATCATGTAAAGAAAATATTATGAATTTCTTCACCCAGCTCCATACAGGTATCTTCAAATTTCCTCTGGTTTACCCCGGCATGCCACAAAAATGTTGTTATTTTCTATGCTGGGAAACACTGCTATAGGTAGGTTTGCTTCTATAATGTGTTCTGCTACCCAAAATTTCCTAGTTTTATTACAGACTAATTTGTTACACCTTTGAGTTAATGTGCAGTTACTGTTACCCATAGCAAACAGGAAAGTCTACATAATAAATGGAAAATGTTAAACCTACATTATTTTCTTACCTATTCTTTAACATCTCTTAAAAATCTAGGACTATTATTCTGTTATTCTGTGGGGCTAGAAATGTTCTTTTTCTTGGCTCAAATGGCTACACTGTGTCCACTTTGTGATATATATTGAGCACATTATTTAGTATGCCCAAGGGCATATGTTTTATTTCATGGTAACAAAATGTTTAAAACATCTGTTTCCTTAGACTATAGAGATATGGTGATCTATAGATCTTTTCTGAGCATATTCTTCCTGCTCATACTAGCTTCGTTTTTTTCTCCAAGAAACCTTAATGAATGCTTAGCTGTATCACTGGGCAGTTGTGAGCAGTCATGAAAGAGGCATGGCACTCATTTGATAACTTATAATGGAAACATGTCCTCTTTAGTTTCTGGAGTATCCGGTTTCTTATATAAATTAATTACATGAATCAAATGCTATTAAAACCAACTTAAGGGTGATAATTGGCTCTTCCAATTCATGATATGAAATATAACAATGATGGGCCTGGAGGTTACTACCATGATCTACAAATCAGGATATGACTATCCCTTGGTACAAAAAGTTAAAGTAGATTCTAAGTCTACTTGCACCTCTAATCTCGGCAGAAATTCATTTCTTCTGCATGCCAGAAGTTCTGGCGAAGAGGTTCACAGGATAACAGTCAGACAATAGTGGATTAAGTTACTGATATATGTATTGTGTGGATGAGGAGATTGCCTTATTTTTGTGAGAGTTTGGTTTGCCCTATTAGGTATATAAACCAAATGTTTATTCCAAGTTTATGTGGTGCTCAATTTAAGACAAATGCCTCATTAATGAGAGAGACACTGATCCTATTGCCAACACTCTGCCAAACTGATTTACTTGGACAATAATAAGAAAAGGACAAATATGTTTCTCCTCTGACACATCTACCATTATAAAACATTTGCCCTGGGCTTCTCTTGCCTTGCTAGTGCACAGTAAGCATCTGTCTGCTGTGAGTATGAAACACCCTTGAGAGCTTGAGGCCACAACTCAGGCTGAGGAAAAGACAGCTTACCTAGCCATCAACATTCACACATGTAGATTTACAAAACAGACAACAAAGCTATGAACCAGAGGCCATTCCATTTCATCTCATGTGAATTATATTATTGTAAAACACTTAACCATATCACAGGGCTTATTAACATTGCCATTTGTTTTTGTAAAGATGCTTTATGTTTAAAGAAATTCTCTAGTGCACATTTCTGCAAAAGTGGAGACAAATGAAAAATTAGCACTACGGAGACCCATCCTCCACTAAGTCTTGTCTCATTTGCTTCTTGTAAGGAACATCTCTTGCTTCCTTTCTCCACCTGTTCATATGCTTTCTTTTCAACCTTCTCCTCTTCTATTTCTCCAGTATAGATCGCGCCCTCAGGCGGTTGAGCTTAAAACAAAATTTTCCCAGATGCCGCACACTCTCACTTTCACCTCCCGGCTATTTTACTTTTGGCCTGAGTCCAACACGTTCCCAAGAGCTGGACACAAGTTGTCACGATCATGAACCTAACCACACTCCCCCCTGCGGCCAATTTTCTATTTTGCTCTTCAAAAGAGGGAAAGGCACATATCAAAAGGAATACAGCTTGGTGCTGGTCAGCCACAGAAGGGTGGAGGTCTTACGGTGCTCAGAAGAGACAGACCAGCTCCTGCAGCAGTCTTGCGTGTGTCGCTGTCCAGACCTCGGTGCTGAATACTAGGCGCTGGTATCTCCCGCAGGGTTTAAACTCAGGATTCGAATAGGCAGCACCATGGGAAACTGAATTCATTTCCCTCGGGTGAGGGGTGGAGGGTTCGTTTAGATGTTTGCCTGTTCTCCGTCCACAGGAAACCATTTTTCCACAAAAAGGCATTGTGCATTTTATGGGAAAGTAATGGCACAGTTCCAGTTCAGCACCAAAGTGAAGAGCTCTACTGAGGGAAAAATGGAAAGTCGGGGTAAATAAAAACTGTTATTTCCCTCCCTGAGTCAACACAACAGCTTTGGGACCCTAGGTCCCCTTGTTGACAAATTCTTAGAAATACCTTTTTTAAAAATCACATGATTAATCATTTTACTGATAAACACCGTAAACGGTGGTGGTGGCGCTGGCTTCGCGATGTCTGGAGTAAACTATTGATATTGTTTTATTAAGGTTGAGAAACAAAAGGGAGGAGGAAGCAAACTTGTAAACTAAGGTGGTTTGAATGGTTAAAATTCATTTTTAAAAGTATTGCTTTAACATTGTCTCGGAGACATGCTCATTTTCTTAGACAAGTTAGAACAGAATTTGGACAGTAGTAGCTTCTCTTCTTCTGCTTACCCTCCTAGTCTCTCTCTGATTTGAAAGACCTAAGAGCCTTGTCCTCCATAGCAGGTGCTGATACTCAAAGGGTCATTATAAGAATCCTGTCATCTCCCCATTACCCCACCCCCATGAGATAATAAAGCAAATACTGAGAAAAAGCACTCCCAGCCTTTGATTCTTGGTAGTTATACTCAAATGGGGACACTTCTCTTTGAAAAGTGAAGATGTTTCTCACGGTACAGAATTTATGGGGAGATAGGGAGCAGACTTAAGTGATCCCAGCAAATAGTTCCTTCCTTTTCCTAATCCCTGGCTGCTTATTTTAGCCGCTTCTCCACCCCGCTGGGAATACCATTCAGATCTTAGTCCAGGTAGATCTGACGTCAAGAGATGGCTTTCGTCGATTTGACGTGTAAACACTCATTTCCATCCTGGCTGGGAAGGGCTGGGGCTCCACTCAGCCTGGAGACCAAAGCGCTTCACTGAGCGCTCGCCGCCGCCCAGCCTCTCCTCGCGCGCCTCCTAGCTCTTCGCAGAGCAACCAGGAGCCAGGAGCGGTCCAGAGCCCGAGGGTGGGAAGGGGGAGTCTGTCTGGCTTTTCTCCTGTCTTGCTTCTTTCTCCTCTTCCGTTCCCAATCGTCTTCAAGCGAGTGTGTGAGCCATGGAGCGAAGAGCCTGGACTCTGCAGTGCACTGCTTTCGCCCTCTTTTGCGCTTGGTGTGCATTGAACAGTGCAAAAGCGAAAAGGCAATTTGTCAATGAATGGGCGGCGGAGATCCCCGGGGGCCCGGAAGCAGCCTCGGCCATCGCCGAGGAGCTGGGCTATGACCTTTTGGGACAGGTAAGAGTTTCCACTTTCAAGAAACTTTCTGGGGCCCCAGGAGACAAGCGGGACTGGAGCGCGGTCTTCCAAGTGGGAGCCCCAGGTTGCACTCTCTGGAGCCCAGTGTAGCAAAGAACAAGGAGCTGCTCCCGCTCTCGCCCCTGGCGCGCTAGGAGAGAGAGAAAGCTTGCATTATTTACTGTTTGGGCTGGGTGCAGCCAAGCAGAAGGAAGCCGCTGCAGCTGGGTAGGGCTTATGCTTACTGTTGTCCGCTCTAGAATTGAAATCCGTTCCCGCGCGGTTTGGAAGAAAAAATCCCTCCAAGCTTGTTATGGGAACTTGAGATGCACTCCAGCTCTCACCAACCGAGCGCCCCCGGGAGAAGCAGTGCGCTCCATCCCCCGACTCAGGCGGTCTGCGTCGGGAGCCGGCTGTTGCCTTCTTTTCAATATGGCAGCATCAGATCCAAGTCCTGAGGCAAGGGGCTAAGCAGGCTTGGGGCTGTCCGCCCTGGCAGCCTTTAAGGGCACGCCCAGGGCATTGGAAGAGTGCCAGCCGCTGGGATTCGCGACCAGGAGGTTGGGAGGCCGCGGAGTAGCCTGGGACGCTGCGGGGAGAAATGGTGGGTTAAAGATACAGGACCATCTATCTCCACGCCTCTCTTGGGAGCTCCGGATTTTCACTGGGAACTTGTAAAGTCCAAGCTTTATAACTTTCCCCGGCCAGTCCCAATGCAGGGTCGAGATGCCGAACTGACTGTGGGGAAGGGATCTGTTTTTTTCTTGTTCTTTAGCCAAGTACGTAATCGTTTTCTCGGGAATTTCAGCTTATTGTTGCCTGTCCAAGCGGAGCCTTGGTCAATAGATAGCTGGTTGGAGGTGGGTGGACGTGAAGACATTAAGTGGGAGACTGCTTATAGCCGAGCGATTCCGAGGGGACCCTAGGGAGTGTGACTTCTAAGCTAGAGCTTTCCTTTCTTTGACTGTGAATCAAGCCCTTGCCCTCTGCTTGGGAAGTTGGTCTGCATAGAAGCGGGGGAGGAGGGAGTTGTAAAACATTTTGGCGCGTTTTTTTTTTTTTTTTTTTTTTTTTTTTTTTTCCTGGAGGTGGTGGTTCTGACGCCGCTGAAGTCACGGATGAGTAATCGGCGGGGGCGTTGGCGATTCTGTGGATCTAACCCGCTGGGGAATTCGCCTTCTCTTGCTCGAGGCTTTATTCTCAACTTTATAAACCAAATTGTCTTTGAAATGCTCGGCAGGAAAATCAGTGCAGATTGGCTTCCTGGTGTCCTAGGAGCAGATGAGTCTTTAGCTTTCGGCCAGCCCTTGCCCTTGTGCCAAGCACCCTGTTAGGGGCTGAGGAATAGAGGAGGGAAAGAAACGCTCTCACGTCATCAAGACTCTAGAGGAGACTAGCTTAGAGACAAATGACTGCAACTGATTGTAATTTGTGTAATAATAGAAGTTGTACTTGGAGTCTGGATATTCATTGGTTGAAGGAATGAAAGTGGAAGGGAATTTTGGAGGGGTGAGCGAAAACTGCCCAAAGGAGAAAATATTTGTCCGGAGAAGAGGAGTCAGAGGTTGTCAGGAGAACATAATGAGATTGGAGAAGACAGTCCAGGCATAGAAAACAGCTTGTGGGAAAACAGTGAGACATAATACAGCTTAGTAGTAAGTCTGTTAATTGCTCTCAATTGTTGGGAATTTTTGAGACTCAAAGGGAAGGCGAGTAGCAGATGAAATTGTGCTGGTGAGTACTGTGGCATCATGAAAATCATGTATGTCCTATGGGGTAGAAACTGGGGGTTTAATTGTGTATTCCTTCAGCAGCTACGGAAAGGTTAAACAGCAATAGTAACCGTGTAGGAGGAGACTGGGGAAGGAAGCAAAAACTAAATCCTTCTTCTCTTTCCCACCTGTTAGCTCTAGGCATGTATCTAAACCTGGGCCACTCAATGTGAGAATTGCTTTTCAAAATAAACAGACATAAATCTTAATAGTAAAAAACAATACATCAACATTCTTGGGAGGATCTTTGGGTATGGGATAGCATAGTCACAAAAGCATTAGAAAATAGTGGGGAAAAGCCATCTATATTTACATATGATTTATAATACTATTTTTCCCTAGCCATTTTTAGTTAAAAAGGCATTACTAACAAAGACTTTATAACAAATTTAACAAAAATTATTTTATTAGAATAGTAATTCTTTGTAGAAGACTGATGGCGCTTTCCTGGTTCCGCTTATTTCTCTTTTTGTTTAATATTACGAACACTAATTTAGCATTACTATATTGGGCACCTTACTGCCTCAGGATAAAGCTTGGATTAAGGTAATGACAAGAAGAAAAACCAGCTGACAGAAAAAAAAAACAGGGCTAAGCATTGGTGATCTTTTTCTGTGGCTACTGATTTCTCACCCCAATTCCATTGACAGCTTGTAGGAAGATTCACTGAAGTTCAGGCTTAGAGCAGGGCCTAACCATCTCTATTTTAAAATTCTCTAGGCGATAAGAACCACCAATTTAAAGAACATGGTTCTTCTGTAACATACTGTTGTATATTAAAAATGCAGGGTTATCTAGAGGATTTGGTAGCTCCAAATTTAGTACTGAGTAAAGGGAGACTAGCTCAGACGAACAATGAATACAGTTCTAAATGAATCAAATATTTCAATAGCTACCCAGAGAAGTATACACACTCTAAAGTGGAACACCTGCCTAAATGTAGCATGTTCTTCTCTGAAGCCTTGAATTAGTGGAAAATCAAATGATCACTAATAGTAGCTAATAACAATTGTCACCATGGATTAAATGGCTACATTTTATAACAACAATAATTTCTTTTAGTGGAAAGAGGCTCTGACCATAAACAGTATCCCAGGTGTTTGCCTGCTTACTACAATTGTTCTTTGACCAGATATATTTGATTAAATGAGCATTTTAAATATGATATTGTCACACACAAAAAAACATGTATTTCCTCCAATGTGTGTAAAATAGAAGCATCACTAGCCTCCCACTGTGAGCTAGTGAATATACTGTGAGTCCGAGCCATCATATTCTGAGGGTCATCTCAAAACCACTATCAGGGCCTTCTTCATGAAGACTGTGGATGAAGCTGGAGGCCATTACTCTTGGCAAATTAACACAGAACAGAAAGCCAGTATTGCATGTTCTCACTCATAAATAAGCTAAATGATGAGAACACATAAATACATAGAAGAGAACAACACATACTGGAGCCTTTTGAAGGGTGGAGGGTGGGAGAAGGGAAGGGATCAATAAAAATAACTAATGGGTACTAGGCTTAACGGCTGGGTGATGAAATAATCTGTACAAAAAAACCCATGACAAACGTTTACCTGGGTGACAAACCTTTACTTGTAGCCCTGAACTTAAAATAAATGTTTTTAAAAAGTTAACTTCTGCTACAAGGAATGGGCTTAATAAAAGTTGCCTATCTTTAAGTTAGCTGAGTTTTAAGCTAATCCATATACACTTGCTTGGGAAAGTGGATATTTATTTTAATTCTTTCCTTTTGTAGATTGGTTCACTTGAAAATCACTACTTATTCAAACATAAAAACCATCCCAGAAGGTCTCGAAGGAGTGCCCTTCATATCACTAAGAGATTATCTGATGATGATCGTGTAAGTGTTGTACATTTGTCTTCAAACCAATACTCTAACTTATCTGCTTTCTTTATTAATTTCTAATAAGAACAGAAGCATTTTGGAAATGTGATTCTTTTTATTGTGACCAAGATTTTTTATCTGTAATGTTTCTAATTTCTTTCTATAAAATTATAATTGCATATAATAATAACAAAATTGGGTTGGATTGGTTGAGCTAAGGTTAATTTATACACAAAAATATGTACTTTAATTATATCTTATACAGAGTTATATATATGTATCTAAAATTAATTTTATATGTACACACACAAATTCAGTCTAAGAGCATAAAAATGAATATTTAAAATGAAGGGGCAGCACTAATAAAAATGTTTGACAATACAATCAACAACCTTTTGTTAGGTACCAATTATGTACCAAACACTTTAACACCAGTGTGGGGACACCAAAGAAATACATAAGCCTTACTTTCAATAACATTTCAGTGTAACTGAAAAACAGTCTATTATTTCTATTTGGTTTTGCTATATAAGCAGCTAGTTGTTTATGAGAGAGCTGTAAATCCAAGTCTTCCAGAAGCATTCTATGGCTGGATCCAAACCATCTGATCTCTTTTTATCCTTGTTTGTATCCCAGTTCACTGACTAGGTAACAGAAGCAAATGTGTGTAATAAATACAAGTAAATAAGGTAGAGGCAATTTGAATATATAGCTAATGTACCTATTGATTTTGAAGTCTATTTTCAAGGTCAGCAAACACATCAGAAAATGTTAACTATATCTGGATTATTGTAAATTTCAGTTGCCTTTTCTCAAGCATATGCCATACTGGAAAAAATTTACCCTGATTGGCCTGATATCTGTGTACATGATTTTTTGTTGCCTAGGACACCCTGGAGAATTATGGTGAGAGATCCTCTTGGTGAGAGAATTAAAAACATCATTTCAACTTCTCAGGAAAAAAATATATAAAAATATATTTATATATATATAAAGTGTCAGAAAGGTAATAGAACTGTTGAAAGTAGATGGAATTAATGAAACCTGTAAAATAATTTGCTGTTTTATTCATTCTGAAGCTGATAGAATTTTAAAAAGAAGAAGAAAAAGACAAATTTTAAGAGTAGTGAATAGCTTGTGTCAGTGTTCAAATGTAAAAGAAACAAGCAAATCCTAACAATTCTGTATTAGGACCATGGACCGTGACCCTATAGCTCATCTACACCTATGGCTGGCTCTTTTTGTCAAGTTATTGCTTGATGTAGGAGACAAATCAGAGGCCCTTGACCTTATTACAGAAGCTTCTTGTCCACTGAGGTCTTCCCTGACTCACTTCAAGGCAAAGAGCTCATCACGTGTGGGCTCTGAAAAGCAGAACAACTTCCAGCACTCTGGCTAGGCTTATTCCCTGGGCTAACCAGGAGAGAGATTTCATTCTTTACCTAAATGCATGCCCAAACTGCATGCCCATTAATGCACATGGAAGTTAAACTGATCTCTCTTCTCATTTTCATAGGAGGAAACTGACAGAGTAGAGCATACCTAACTGTTATTCTTACTCAAAATATCACATGAAAATGAACAGATGATCCATTCTACTCTTTAGAGTAGAATCAGCTATCCCCTTGATAGCTGATTTTGGGGAGGAACCTCAAGACATTATGAAAAAAGGCTAAGAATTTAGTCTCCAGCACAGGTATAACTGTAAAAAATTAGCTCAAGAATAATTTTATTTTAGGAACCATTCTGGAACCATAGAAAC